AAGAAAGAAAGAGAGGGAAAAGAAGAAAGTGAGAGAGGGGGTGGAGGCGAGTTCGGCAAAGGCCGGTCGAGCACCTGGGCGACATTACTTCTTCGAGTCTTCCGACAGCATGCCTCTTCGCAGGCATACTTTCGTACCTCGACTCGCGTCCCTCGTTTTGCGAACTGCAGCAGCATATCCGATAGCGTGTGAAAAGTTTATACTGTAACCTTTTTTAATTCGCTATCACGCTGTAATTATTCCGTTTACCACCCACAATTAACGTTACTATTAATTAACAAAGAAGTTTGTTGCCCTTTCACGTTATATTTACATAAGACCAACACGATTGTATTCACTCATGCTGTTTCTCAAGACTAGTTTTTAAATGGATTTTTAAGTGTTGTTTTGATTTTCTATACTTGTTCTGATTTTTAACAAACAAATTTTACCCAGAACTTAGACGGTATTGTTGTCAAAATATATTATTTAAATATACGTGAAAAAGATGTGCATATTTCAAGCCTATCGTTGAGCCGTATCTGTCCAATAATGTATGTTTCCAAAATTTTTAACCGATTAATTCAGAAGATTGTAATCATCCGAACAGCTTCCGCGTATTTTTTAAATATTCGATAATTGCAATCGATCTCTGGGCGCCTTATGGTAAATCGTACATTATATTTATGTGCTATTTCAATTTTGATATAATATCCTGTCGGAGGACGCGCCTTATTCCGTCACGGAAGATCAAGCGCGCTTCATCTCTATGAAGATCATTGAACGTAATAAGCTGAGCAGCGCTATTCATGATTATCCTATAGCTCGTCGTATCTTCCGTCACTTTGCCACGTTCATCTACTATGACTGTTGCTCGTTTGCAGAATATGCGGAAAACGAAGTGTCACTAACATTCATCCGATTTTTCTTTGCAAAAATCTCGAAGCACTAATAGCACTCGTATTCTAAGATTAAAAAACGAAGAGAAAGTTTTAATTTGGTAGTTTAATTATCGGGATATTGAGGCCTAAAATATTGAAACCGATAATAATTTCCGCTTTTATTACGAAGAAATTGACTCTCGCAATTAACGCGACATTGGCTACTTTTTGCTAATTCCTGGACATGCTGTGCAACGTTTGTTTTGCGTTTCATTTTCTTCACTTCTTGCCGCCTCATCATAGTCTCACGCATGATTTGCGGATATCCTTCGACCAGTCCGTTCATCTTTTTAGAAAGAATGTCCGCTTCGAACATCCACTTTAGAAAGGTTGTGCTACGTGCAGATGAATTTCACACACGAAACGTTCATCATAATATCATGACAGACATAGACATTACATTATCCTTGCATGAGAAAGCATGTGTAGAAAATTTCTGAAAAGACATCACGTGCATTTAGTTCTCGCTTATGTCTTACTATATCTCTACTTCATTTTAACTACTTATGACTATAAATACCGCAAAATAATGCAATATGACGTAGGATGTTAAAAATACTCCTAACGGACAAGTTAAAGGGATCGTATAATTATTTCGTTAACACTATCTTGTGACGTCAGGAAACCATAAAGTCATCGCGACCTTCCTGAGTTCGTATGGACACTTGGCTACCTGCCACGTGTATATCTAGGTCTAGGTTTAAGTCTAGATTGTGGTTTATCCTAAAAGCCAGGTTTTATGTCGATTTTATGCACCCATTTTTTAGGGTCAATACTGCGAAATGGATTAACGGGAGTTTTTGAAAGAAGGTATCCCAAGGAGATGACCGTACGTGTCCTTTCTTGGGACCATGGGCGACGAATCCGTTCCTGGCGCCACGGTGTGTGCTCGCCAGTTGCACACCGGCCGATACCCAGGTCTCCAGACTGGCTGCAGCTGCGAACCGGTTATATACTTTCATCTGGCAGTCTTAGCACGGTCCCTAAAAGAGAATCCGATGACTATAGCTGCGGTGCGCGAGGCGCGCGAGGAAAAGAGAAAGGAGAGAAAATGGTGGGGAGAGTTAATGCCTGTACCAAGGCACGCTTATGCATCGGAATAAAGGACGTCTCCCCCTACTCTTTCGCCTTTTTTTTCCTTTCCTTTTCTCTCTCTCTTTCTCTCTCTCTCTCTCTCTCTCTCTCTCTCTCTCTTTCTCTCTTTTTTATATTTTAACCCTACCACTTCTTCTGGTATACACCGGCAACACTCTCTTCGGCGCGAGTCACATACTTAGCCGAGTGGACGGCCGTTCAAAAAACGCTGCGCTCCGGAGGCAATACTTGATGAGATCGTATGACGGTCACCGCGGTGATGAAACGCGCATCCTGTTTGGCCGGTAATACATCTGACATGCATACTTGCAGACTAATTGACCGTAGATCAATAATTTGGCCTTGTAGAGCGTTTGGCCGTAAAGCGATATTAAATTAGACGCTATTTTTGAAAAGAAAAAAAAAGTTTAATGTATCGACTTGTGCCTTGCTCTATACGTTACTCCGCGTAAAATTGAAAAACGTACGACGATGCAATATATCGATCGGACTTTAAAAGCGACTTTAAATTTCGCGAATTATATGGCGGCGATCGTTGAATTAATGATGTTCACTTCCCAAGTGAACGAGAAATAATAGGGAAGCAGAACTTTGAGCCGCACTACGCGTTAATAGTTTATCTTTGTGCTTATCTTCTGCGACAGTCGCTTGAAAGAGCATCCGATAGCTGTAACGGTAAGCGCGAGGATAAGAGCGAAGAGGGAGAAGAAAGGAATGAGAAAAGTTGTGCTGCGTATACTAAAGCACAGTTACGTCTTCTTTTCGTTAAGCTGCGCTGCGCCAGTTTAACTGCCACGTTCCTTTTGGCGAATCGCGCATCAAACCGGATAGCGACCATCAGTGGGATCGAGATTTTGGCGTGAATAAAATGACGTAGTTAGTTTTCAAATGGTTGCTGAAACTCCAAAGACCGAACTTTCGATAATCTAGAATCGATACGTAGTTGAAAGATATAGGGGGGGGTGAACAAACGAGATATAAACGGAGAACGAGAGATAAAGCGGACAGACAATAATAAATTTACTCTCCTTTTTTTCTATGGACAAATCTCTGAATTTAAATGAAGCAAGCGTTGAGAAACCGATACTCGAATTACTGCATTGATATGCAGGTAGAACTTTAATAGTTCGCGAGTCTCTACATTCATAGCCAATTTATTGCCATGTCATCCTACGCGATGACATCCTTTTTCAGGATCGTCATTGATACATTGTCCCAATTTTATCTGTAGAACTTTTTACGCTCGGCTCACCATGCGTAGGCGCCTTCAAGGTCTACTAGTTCGATTTCACGTTTGTAAAGACCATGTAACTGGCGACAAATTGTCATGACCGATTGAAACGAGAGGCCTTGAGACACGATCGTATAATTGGTGTGTAAGAAAGAAGGTTTTGGTGATGGCAAACGATGATCGTAACGACGTAACGACGTAAAAGAGTTTAACATAAATCAATATGAAAGGATGTGATGGATATTATGTCGCATACAGATGTGACAATAGCTTAATCCTTTTTTAAATATCCATTAAAAAGAAATTAAAGCTGTAACAAACCTACATTTTTTTGCTATTTTTGTATGAAGTAAAATTTTATTTTGTGACATCTGCATTTTAAATGTAAGAAGCCAATATCCGTCTCTTTGATTCTATAAATATAAATTGCTAACAATTATTGTCACATATCATTTTAATGTTTCCGATACGATAAATTTTATATAAAGATTCTCATTTAAGTTCCCATTTGCTAAGTCTATAAATGATAACTGTATGAATCATCTTTGCAAGTTTTATATAATATATGGATTTTTTTATTAAATCAACTGAAGTTTACAAAAATAAAAAAATCTTAAGATGGAACCAAAATAATATTTCAGTACTTGGATTCTAAGAAAACAGCACGCGACATCTGAGGTTCAATGTTGAAAGTGACTGTCCTGGCCGGTTAGTCAGGTTCAACGAACTTAACTTACAGTAGGTACACAGTGATACAGACGGTGATCATTTAAACCCGATAGATCATTGAATTTTTCCATGTTTTAAGCACATACCTGCCACGAGACTCTACTCGTAACGTTATTTGTAGTATCAATAGCATTTCTAGCGGGTAAAGCAGAGTTTTGTAACACTGACATGTGCTAGATTAACTAGTTCACAAACTAGTTTCTTCATATCTTCGTAAGATTTATATAATGTAATAATCTCATATAATGTTAAATAAAAGTATAAATCAATTCTTTTCTTCCTCACGTTTTTCTTCTTTTATCTCCTACGTCAATTTTCTTCAGTAGAACGGTAAAATTATTAACTTTGAAATGCGTAAATTAATTTCCTTAGGGAAATCTAAACTACAATACTCTTCATGACAGTCTCTGTATTTTTTATAAGATTTTCCTTCAAAATAATTTTTAGACTCATATTCTTAAAGTGTGTAATCGCCTTTCTTCTTCGCAGAATTAAATTTACTTAAATTTATTTACTTAAATCTTTACTTAACTGCATAAATTTCGCAAAGTTATTTTATTTTGTTTCTTTTTACAAATTTTATTACAAAGTCACGCGCCACTTTAAGGGTTCGCTGCATCAATAAATGTATATCATCCGACTCTGGAGTGTGCGTCCATACCCGATACGGAAGATTATACTGCCGCGCTAATAATCGCGCTACCGTTTCTTTCCCATCAACGATCGGCGAACCGCAGGCGGTGCCCTGCTATTCCCCACAAAATATATCTTCCCCTGCGGGCGGTGAGGTGGCACAGGTGACCGGAGGTTGTGACGAGGGGGGAAAGCCCCCTCGTGCACGCCTCGGGGAGCACGACGGGCTGAATTTAACTTGGAACAACCGTATATTTTGTGGTGTTCTGTGCACGGTCAGTGCCCACGCCACAGAACGAATGCCAGGCAACGATCTGCGCTCTCCCGACGGGAACCACGCTGGCTTCGCCCGTACCTTCAGTTTACTATCGTAAGCTCACTCGGACAGGTGAGCGCCGCGCTCACGGCCGATCGAGCGATGACACGGTTTTACGCAAATTCGTTTGTCAGCACCATAATCTCGCGATCGTGAAGAGAATTTGATTTTACCTTACCCACGTTAGGCCTAGAAGTAACGCGGACCATCCAAAAAGTACCATTTACAAAGCAAAAAGAGGTTAAAAAAGAGTTTTGTTCACTGAATAAGATTGTGCAAATTTTCGCTTCTGACTAATCACAGAAAGCAAAGGATTTTTCTTCAAACTCGAGTAAATATCTTAACATGGTGATTACTTAAAAAAAGGATATGATTTCTTATAGTGACAGTGATTTGATAATATAATTAAATTATAATAAACCTACTAATTTCCGTCATTATGTGCGTTATATAATCTACTGAATGGATAATGTATGGGAAAGACGTACTAATCATTGCGTCACTTCGATATTTTATCGACGATTTAGTGTGAAAAGAATTAAAAAATAGTAATAATAACTAAGTCGATTTAAATGTTTACTGGCACAGTTGGACATGTATAAACACATTTTACACGTTTTGCAATTATGCTAACGCTAGCACTGACAGCGTGTTAAAAGCTGAAGTTACAATAAGACAGTTGTGTGAATAAAAACATTCATTTTCACCGCTGGGACATACTAAACAAATCTGTTCCCGCCATTGTGCTGTACGTCAAACAAAAATTCTGGTGAGTACAAAATACTTTCGAATAAACACTAGTATAATTTTGTACTCGCAAACATAAAAATGATCTAAGCCTTTGTTCTGATGTACATTCAGATTTTTGCATTTTTATGCATTAAAAAATAAAGTATGTTGAAATTCGCAAATATCTTTTAATAATTAGCAGCAGAATATGTTTAAATTACCACATTATGCGGGCTGTTAATATTTCGGATAATAAAATTTTATGAGTGAATAAATTAATCGATCCACTTGCAAAATTAAAAGGTTTGGTATAAAATCTATTTATCTCTGCATTTTCACGTCATGTTCATATTTTAATAAATTATCCCTTTTATCGGATTTTGATTGGTCGTGGAAAGGTAGAGGCCCGCAATTTTTTAGAAAGTTTCACAGAAATTTTAAAACGTGACATTGACAGACAGCACGTCCATCACAGTCGGCATCCTGGTACGAATTATGCCAGTGTGGAATCTCACGTATCTGACGTGCAATTAATGCTTATCTGACACCACCACTGAAAGTTTAATTCGAGGAATCAACGGTATTGTTCGCCACTCTTTGATAACTGGCCTTGTAATCCGTAAAGGAAGACGTTTCGTATACTTATTATTGTACAATCAATTTTCAACAAACTTCAGTAAGGAGTGAAGGTCTCTCTCTGTCTATCTTTCTCCGCGATCGAAGTAGAAGTTGAAGTTATATTACCTCGATTGTATTACATAATTACATGAAACACGAAAGGGCGAAAATGATATATGTATAGGTACTTCTACTATAAAATTTTGATTGATATATTGTAGATATAGGTAAATGAACAAATTTTTTTTATACGTCAAATAAACATTAATTTTAAAAAGTACTACTTGCATAGACATACACAAACGCAAAGATGAATTAAAATAAATCTTATTATATAACATTATTTATTGCACATTTGTGTAAATATATTTGTATTTTCCTGCGTGCGATTAGCCTTTACATGCCGTGACTTCCGTTTATTACGGAATCAAAATTAAACGTTGAAGCGAAGCTAACCACTGGACAGCGATCGGCAATTGTTAGCACTGACCCAAATTTCTTTATGACGATATATTAATTATTAAACGAGAATGTATATGACGCAAGAATGCAATCACGCTTCAACTTGGCTTATGTATCCTCTTATGGTGTTATGAAATTATATCTCCTCTCGTTAAATAATCGCACACCGCCATTGTATCTCATCATAATTATTCGTACGATGAGATAAGACGCGCCGTTAATTTCACTCCCACGAATAATGTTTCGTCGTGCCATAGTATGAAAAGGAAATTCACTTTGCTTATATACTTCGTTCGCACAGTAGCATCTGTTTATTGTCGTAACACCAGATGTAACCGCAGACCGACACAGAGAACTCCGGAATTGGCGAATTTTTGCTGGCGAAATTGCTAATAATTTCTGCGTATATTCTTTTTCGTCTGAAAATTAATTTCTCAAACTCAAATACCACTAAATAGAATAACGGAAAGTTCAGTAATCCCCTTGAAAATAATGTACTTTCTCTTAATTAAGATTAAAAAATTTAAAGTAGAAATGCTTATGCGGGATTTGTTTGAAAGGCTACTTGTCAGCTTCTTCTCCGTGGACTACCTTAATTTTGCAGCGTTATAAAAACGAAATACATATCGATATCACAGACAATTGGCGTGTCCGCGCCCACCAAGAAGATCTTTTACACATATGTGTTCATGGTGTGGGGGAGCTCGTCACGCAAGGAACTTCTGTATGGGGTTGGCCAGGCAACAGACAGTATTATAGGTGTATGTCAATATCCCGGACGGTGTTATCATTCGGAAGCATGCATGGCAGGTGTAGGAAATGACGTCACGCACCTCGGGACGGCCCCCCATTGGAAATACGACCTTACCGTCCCTTTATCCGAACCAGCGTGCATAGAGAAAACTTCCTTTATATACGGACACATGTTACTCTTTTTCGGTCAATGCTCACGGGGACTGCTACCGTACGAATAACCTGTGTCGAAAGTAAACACCGACGATTGTCGAACAATAAAATTATCCCGAATCTAAAGCGTTCTATCGATCAATCTTGTCGAAGAATTTCGCTATGCGCGAAGGTAAGTGCAAGTTGTAAAGAAGCCAGAGAAAATTTTAGTCACGCAATCTTCTTCATGCTATGCATTCGAATATTACACTTCTAAGTAGATAAAAGATTAGACGAATCATTATATATAATTAATTGCAATTGATGACTTTCAACAGTAAAGAATTTTTGCAACAAAACATACGTAGAATAATATTCTAGTCATTCTAGAGAGATTCTAAAAGAAATCTCTATATCCAAGCTATTAGCTATATAGGTGTCCTGCTAGGTTGTCATTTATTATACTAAATAAATAAAATGTATGTTTCAGAGTAATATAATCACTTTAGAAATAAACATAAAAATTGCCCGAAATCAGATCGGAAAGACCTGGTTTACATTATCGCAAATAAAAATCGTGTTACCCGGTATAATTCTTATCAACACTCATCAGAATAAGAAAAGATTCGTTTCCTGTATAGAAGCTACAGTCTTATTTATTCGTTGGAAATCAGATAGCGCACGTACTTCGTGCACATTTGAATACACGAGTATCCGCACATCGAGAAGCGTCGCACTAGCCTGTTATTTAGCAGAGTCTTAAAAGTCAAGAGCGTGGCCGATACACTCTGTTGGCAAGAAGAGCACCGTTCGGTGTGCTCACTCAGTGTTCCTTAAGTGTCAAACTATCTTAAAGAAGAATTCTTACACGAACACGGGTCAGTGCGAACGTTCCTTCCGCGTATTTCTGCCAAGCCTTGTTAGACAGTGTCTTCAAACTATCGAATATCTTTAACTATAGATTTCTTAAGTAATTTAAAATTAATTTTTCCTTATTAAAAAAATGACATTGTTATATTCCCTAACTTTCAAATTTTCAAGATCATATATTCTCTTGTAGAACTTTACATTAAAATAAAATTTATCTAGAATTAATTAGACGTTATTTAAGTCTATTAGACGTTTAAAATGTCTTTTATTGATAATCGGAGTTGGCTCGTTTTGAATCGTAACACTTTCTCGCCTGAGAATGCAATATTATATCATCACTTTATCAGCCGAGTAAGATCCTAGAAGGATCAAGCTATTAGATATATCTTGCGTAATGTGAGTACTTGGGGTTAGTTGGGAAAATCACTCTTTTAATTAATTGCGTACGGCACAATTTAAGAGCCGTGAGAAAACGTCGTTTCTTCCGCGGTAAGCTTTCACTCCGGTTTAATCTCCGTGATCGTTCGCGGCGAGATACTCTTGACATTGCATCAAGACGACGTTTTACCGAGGAGAAAGCAACCACTCAGCGTGAATACCGGTTTACCAGTTATCAAACTAAATGCAACAAGTAAATAGACTGCGTATGAGTAAATAAAATGTATGTCAAAGTTTACAAAATGTAAAAGATGCGTAATAAAAATACTATGAAATATGTAGTATGATATTTTTTATGTATCAATCTATAATCAATGATAATATGTCACATTTTTAGCTCATATTATTGTAGATTATTTAGATTAAGTATTCGTCTATTTAATCAATTTAATAATTCATATTTGACTGCTCAATATGTCTATATTTTTTATGACATAATTCTTTAATTTAAAGCAACGTTTTTGTTAATAAATTGCATGTTTATGCGTTGATTTCAGAGCATTAAGAAGTGAAAGATTCTACGAGAAGGAACATGTCGATTACAAGTATCGTTCGATCAAGATGACGTCGGATAAGCAAACGAGTTCGTCCTCCTGGCTGTTGCGATCATGTAAAAGAAGCCGGTTTAAAATAGAATTGTTGTACTTCATATTTGGATATTTGTTGACGTATTGCTCGGCTAGAAACAATCCTCCTAGATTTCTTATAGACGGACAAACAGAAATCGTCCTCAGACTGAAGGAGGGGCCTGAGACTCCGATTGGTAAAGATAATAAGCATCCTTTTTTAGAAAAGACTACACTACTCTCAAAGAGCGTTCAATTAAACGTAAATTTCTATATATAATAAACAAGCATTAGTATATGGCTATAGCTTTTATTAAGTAAACAATCGAATAAAACTTTATGATCGATTAATTCATAGTGAAAGACGGGCGCGTCTTCATGCATACTTGCGCCGGTTGGTTACGGATCACAAAACTTATTACTAGTCTAATGCACCGATTTTCAAGCACCGTTGTATAAACCGTTGCTGCTTTGTTTTTAATATGCGAATAAGATTATAAAAATTAATGCTTTTCTTTATGACTCTTTTTCGCTCTCAACATTCTTTCTTCTTACAACTTTCTCTCTCTCTCTCTCTCTCTTTAAATATAAGTTAACAAAGTTATAAAATTCATTCTTGAATAATCTCTATTAATTGTCTTTTTAAGATTACACTAAATTCTTCTCGTTATTTTCTTCTATATGACCATGACATTTTGCATTTATTGCACATAAATAAAGGCTAAATTTATTAAAAAATTATTTACAGGTAGCCTAATTTACAAGCTCAGAGGTATCGATCAAGATAATGATATACTGACTTTTGGCGTTCGAGATCAGCCTGGTAGTGACGTGATTCGAGTCGAAAATTTCGGTTTCAGTGAAGCCAACATTTACTTAAATAAGTTGCTGGACAGAGAGGTAAATCTACGTTCTAAATAATTTTTAATTCATCAAAATTATGAGAAGGCATTTATACTAAAGAACAAAATTTTTTCTAAGTTATTATATAAAAAATTGTGAAGAAATAACTAGATCTTAACAACTGCTCGTCTTAACAACAAATATAAACTTTGTCAAGTGAGAGCCATTAAGCAACACAACTAGAGAAGCAAAAATAACGCAGGAAGAGATACCGCAATAATTCTTACGTTGTGCCATCACTGCTATTTCTGTTTTGCACGAGCAATTTACCTTTTCTTCGGATCACAACTTCAATATTACAGTCCAACAAACCATTAAAGAGAAATTTAAGTATCAGCAGCGAAGACAAACGTAATTTACCGATCATCTTTACGAGGATTCACTTCGCAAAGCTGTCATTTGTAGCCGTCATCAGTGCACGCATAAAATAACGCATCCGAGATTAACTTTCTATCGGTGATGGTGCTCGCGTTCGAATTATAATAATCATCGTGTGTGCGATGCAATTTTTTAAAACCTAAGTACATCGATTTCATCGAAACCTATACAAACTTGGTTTAAATTATATTTTATCTCTTATACTTTGCTCTTCCTTAATCTCAATACCTATATCAAACAATTTGTATATACGACATCTTTTAAATATAAATTCCATTTTATCAGTAGTTGACATTATATTTCAGAATAGAATCCTATTTATTATAATATTTTATACATATATGTTCTTATATATATATATATATATGTATTTTAATATAGACCTTATGTATGTGTATATTCTGATACTTTAAATGTTTTTGGTATTACACAACATGAAAATTAATAACATAAAATTATAAAAAAATTATATCTTGAATTCTGACAAGAATTATAGATCGTCTAAAGCGGGTTTAATCTAATATTAAACGTATATTATTTGCGCTTTATCAGACAAGAGACGAATATGCACTCGTGTTAACATTGACGGATGGAAGATTGGGGGAGGGAAATTTCATCACGCAAAGTCTGCTGCTTTTGGTCGAGGACATTAATGACAATGTCCCGGTTTTTCGTCCACATCCTACCTCGTTAACACTTCGGGAGGATTCACGCCCGGGTATTTTAACAACGGTGGAAGCTACCGACGCCGATTTGGGTGCTCATGGTCAAGTGGTGTATTACCTTCAGGAGTTGGATGGCGATAACAACGTTTTCAGTATATCGACCGTCAATGGCAAGGGTGTTATACGCTTAGTGGGTTCTTTGGATTACGAACGAAAGTATCTGTATCAACTGCGAGTCTTGGCTGTAGATCGTGCAATAAATGAAAAGGTATTTTTTATTTAAATGAGCATAATCATTCTTTATTAAATATTTAACAATTTCGTAAGTGATAAGAAAAATGGGCGCGATTATTTCATTTTTTTGTAAACATAACTTGATAATCTACACGTATATTATCGGTATACATCTTATCTTAAATGAATAAGCGTTTGTTAAAAATTTTAAAAATTATAAGGATATTATTTAACAAAACGCGATACGCGCGGACATTACGTAGATAAAACCCGCACGATATATGATTACTGAATAGTTCAATGACTTTTCCCTGTAAAGTCAAACGCAGTGAAGGGTGAACAATGCCAGAAGATAACTATCTACATAAGCGTCATTACAGTTATTTATTATAGCCATTTCTTCCAGGCAACTTCCTGTAGTTTACTTATACTTAATTATTCTAGATAAGTGCTTAATCATTCTTTCCTACTAGGTAAATACGGGAACGACGGCGATTTTGATTAAAGTACAGGATGTGGAGGACCAACCGCCGGAATTCATAGCCATGACGCCTGTTGCAAGGATTAGCGAAAATGTCAGGATTGGTACATCTGTTTTACAAGGTCAGCATTATATCTCGTGAATAAAACAACGTCGAAACTATTTCCAATTGCAGAATCTAATTTTAATTATAATTTAACGTAATAACAGAATAAATGAATAAATAACTTTATGCATAATAAAATTCATTTATAATGAAATTCATTCATAATGAATGATGCTGCTTAATTAAGATAAAAAATTAACCGAGATACTGTAATGGTCAGTTTGCAGCCAATTAATTTAGAATTTCATTTTTCGACATACTTCAACACTTGCGGACGCACGCAACGATATGCGTGTGCGCACGTATAAAACTTCTGCCTTTAAACGCTGCAATGCAACAATTATAAATCTAAGCGTATCGCTCTAATAATCGGATAATCGTGATACGTGCTTTGCTCTATTACGACGGAAGAATAATGCGAGAAAAGTACGATCGCGAAGAGCTATGAACCGTTGTTCCTTCATTACTTTAAAACTGGGATAGCCATAAACTGGCACCCTCAGGCGTTGGATAGCTGAAACATTGAATGAACTGTGATCGTACATTTTGCGCTTTGTTTTGTGGACTCGCCTAAGATAAGGATTAATTCTGCTCTATTGATTTTTCAAATATTGAACGTCTTTCAAAGACTATGACTTGTGACCTCGATATTTTCAGTGATTGCGGGAGATTCCGTATATAAAATTATGTGGCTCTAATGATCCGACAATAAATCTCGTTGCAGTTCGTGCTGTGGATGGTGATAAGGGGATAAACAACAAGGTGATTTATAGTATTACGAAGGGACCGAGATATCTGTTCGATATTGATGCGACTTCTGGCGTCGTATTCACGAGAGCGCAATTGGATAGAGAGGCCGAGGAGAATAGCGATGGCACTTTCATTCTCGAAATTACAGTTAAAGAAGTGTCGAAGATTAATCCACCGCCATCTGTCAGCACCGAGGTGACCATTATCCTCACCGACGTAAATGACGAAACGCCGACATTTCGGAGTATGCTATATCATGCCGAAATAAACGAGAACGCGCCGGAAAATACGCCAGCCAATTTCATTGGCGATGCTGTACCAGAAATTTTTGATCATGACTTGGTAAGTTGAAAGTAGTAAAAAAATTTTTTATTTTTTAAATAGAATTGTGACATCCATGCCAAAGAAAATTAGCATTTAAAAATGCTGCTTTCTTGCAAAATAATTTCCTCTTACTGAATTTTGAGAATGTTGCTTGCAAGTGCAGTGAATTGTTTTTTAGGGTTCCAATGGCACGTTTCGAATATTTATCGAAGGCGATGGTGGAATATTTGATGTAACACCGTATCGTGGAATTAATGAAGCGCCGTTTTTAATACGCGTTAAGGATTCGAGTAAACTGGATTTTGAAAAAATATCTGGTAAAGTCATACATTCGTTTTCTTTATTATAATTAAACTAGCCACCGTATTGCAAAATTAATATTGAAATATTAACGTTACGTTTCGTACTATGCCACGTGTAAAACTTACGGATTGATTCTTGCAGTGGTAAACTTTACTCTCGTCGCGAAAGAAATCACGCCGGTATCGCCGAAGTATAGCGCGGTACCGGTTACAGTCTTTATAAAGGATCAAAATGATAATTATCCCGAGTTCACGAAAAGTATCTACGACGTGTCGATACCAGAGAATTGCGCCGAGGGCACGACCGTGGCTTGGATACAGGCTTTGGACGGAGACAGCGGTAACTTTGGAACGCATGGAATACGATATACAACTTTAGGCGGTAGCATTGCACATGCGTAAGATAATAAATTATCAAAATAATTCTTAACAATCACGTTATACTTTACAATTTCGTCATATATGTATAGTTTTCTGTGTTAATAAATCAACGAAAAAAATTAAATAAGATTAAGAAGAGAGACTCTTTGTCCAGTATAACAGAAAGTCAATATAAGACATTAATAAAGTAATAAAATTTTACGATAGTAAATTAACTTTTGTCATAGATTATCGATGGACCCTCTCACCGGCGTGGTAACGGTTAAGCATCCTGGGCCCAGTTTCGATCGAGAATTAGTAGCTCGGCATTATCTCACCGTCGAAGCGCGAGACAATCTTGGAAAAGGGAATCGCAACGCCGCGCAATTGATAATTAATATTGATGACGTTAACGACAACGCTCCTATATTTCTACAAAATAAATACGAGGCAGTGTTGTTGGAGAATGAAGATCACTTTGAGTCGCCTTTGGTTGTCGAAGCGTCCGACAACGATTTAAATGGTTAGACAGCGTTTAATAAATAAAAAAAAACACGAATAAAACGTATATCTCTATCTACGATGTGTCACACTTACATATCTGTCCAGGGACGCGAAACAGTGAGATAGTCTACACTTTAGTATCAAGCGAATTCTCTCGAAATTTCACCATCGATCCGAAACGTGGCATTGTTACACCCACCCGTCCCCTGGATTACGAGGCTCTGCCTATCAATCAGGGACACAAAGAAACGATCATACGTCAGTTAAGATTGACAGTGAGAGCCAGAGATATGGGTACACCGAGTCTGACGTCTGAGGTTCCTCTGATTATTTACTTGAGAGACGTTAACGATAATGCTCCGGTTTTCGAGAGAGCTTTGTATAAAAGAAATATTCCTGAGGATTTGCCTGGTGGCACAAGCATTGTACAAGTACGTATATAATATAAAATACTTTATGTAATACGTCGCAAAGTTGTAGATATAAAGTTGTAGATATAAGTTTCTGAATTGCATGGAAAATTAAAAACACGAAAAAGATTGATAAGTAAATAAATGTTATCGCGGAAATAAACGATGAATAAAGAATTGTTCCTATAGGTGAAAGCTTGGGACAAAGATCTGTCGTCGCCGAATAATAAGTTAGTCTATCGAATTCAGAGCGGAGCCGGAGACAAGTTCGTAATTAGCCCCGAGACAGGCGTGATCCGAGTTGCGCCGGGCTCGAACTTGGATCCGGATCTTACGTCGCCGAAAACCACGAGATACAACTTAAACGTTATCGCCATCGACAGCGGTACGGAAATTCAACGGACGGCCGAGGTTCTCGTGAATATCACGATCCTAGACGTCAATAATAAACCACCCGTTTTCATCGATCCCGGGACTATCACTATCAGAGAAAACACTCAGGTATGTTATCAGACGTCTGTCTGCTGCTGTCTAAATTCTATTAATAAGCAAATGACTTTAGGTCGGTGCCTATGTTCATCGCATAGTGGCGCAAGATCCGGATGTAGCGCCGATTCTACGTTATCGCGTAGATCCCAATTCATCGGAGGCACGAAATGAGGAGGGTACTTTGATCAAAGTGCAAGAATATGACTATCTAGCAGCGCTAGAGTTAAACGCGGTGGATGGCTTGCTACGCATAGTAAAGCTATTAGATAGGGAGCGAGTAGAAACCATCAGATTGGGACTTGTTGTCGAGGACTTGGCAGCAGTAAGAGGCTTGCAAACTGCATCCGGTTAGTTTTTAGTTTTAAAAGTAGTTTTAAATGTGATGGGGTCTTCCTTCAAATTTTTCCGCAAAAGTGTTTTCGAAATGTTTCTAAAAGTTTTCTATCATAAAAGTATTTTACTAAAGCGCTATTATACACAAAATGTTTGCAGCCACGCTGAGTATAATTATCGAGGATGAAAATGACAATAATCCAAAGTTTCGGAGACCATTTTATAGGCGTTCTGTTACTGAAAACAGTAAAAATGGTGTCAATATCGCTGGTATTGTTGCCGACGACGCTGATAAAAATCGTAGCATTACGTATTCCTTACAAGGCCCAAAAGAGATCACTGAACTCGTGCATTTAGATCCTGAGACCGGAGAAATGGTCGTCGCTAACAAAATCGACAGAGAAGTGTACTCGTGGCTGAATTTAACTGTTAAAGCCACGGACTCTGGAATTCCACCTCGGTAAGAGTTATACAATTAAATAATTATTAGGTTATTATATTACATTATTATATTTAATTAGAAATGTATTATTAATTAAATAATAATTTTCTACCACTACATGTAATAATATTTCAGCATTATTTTTCTATTATGTATGTCAAACTAATTAAATTTTGTAGATCAAGTTTATCGGAAGTATACGTTCAAGTTTTGGACGAAAACGACAATAATCCGTATTTCCTCTCGAATGTCAGTAGTGTAACTGTTATGGAGAATTCAAAAATTGGCACGGAAATCACTGTAATACAGGCGGCAGATTCTGATAGTGGGGATTACGGAAAAATCACTTATCTTTTGGACAGAATATCATCTCAGGTAGAAAACGCTAATGACATAGAAATTTTTATAATAATTCTACATTTACTTTGCAACGTGCCTCAGCAATATTTAGCTTTATTGTCGCAGTCAATACAAAGCCGGTGTAATGTAATGACTATGTATCAATGTATACAACTTATTATTACAGTCGACTATTATTTTCAACAGGGGACTTTCGCCATTCACTCAGAAACAGGATCGCTGACAGTTGCTGATGTCCTGGATTGGGAGAATAGACATAGTTATGTTTTGGTCATAGAAGCGTGGGATAATTATCAATTTGGTTATACAGCAGGGGAGTCTCGAAACGCGTTTAAACAAATCCAGTATGCAATATTTCTCGATTTATTAATAATAAATATAATGTTTATTTTATTTTAATTTTAAACTGTACCTAAGTCGTTTAGATGGTATCATTGTAAAACAGAAGATATTGTTTTAGAGTTACAGTCATTGACGTGAATGACAATGCTCCGAAAATGGATATACCTCAAGACTGCATCTCGATATCTGAATTTCATGACATACGGGACTTGATTTACATTATAAAAGTGAAGGATGCTGATGATCCGACAACGCCGAATGGACGCGTTATGATCAGGATCACTTCGGGCAACGAATTAGGTGCGCAATTAATTTTTGAATATTGCTCGATAAAATATAATATTTCGCACTGTATAATGCAAACATGCTATATACATATATTCTACAATTTATGAAATTCTGATACAATTAGCATATCTTTTTAAATATTAAATATATATAAAATGGATTTCAAATATAATATTGATGAAATTGTGATCAACAGGTTTATTTATATTGGAGCAAACTGATTATTGGACAGCAAAGATAAAAGCTGCCCAGCCATTGAGAGGAAAGTTTGGGAATTATACGTTGAACGTTGAAGCACACGATTTGGGAACACCATCTAATAAGGATAATGGAATTTTGAAAATTTGCGTCACAGATTACAACGATAATCCCCCTTTGTTCGTCAGTCCCCAGCACAATACCACTATCCGTGTTCCAGAGGTTCGTGTTTCTGGCTAATTTGCATAATGCTGTACTTCTAATGCGCACGAAATAGCGTTAATGATGTTAATGAAACGATTTCAGAACATAACAATAGGAAGTACGATTATTCAAATCGAGGCGAGAGATGCCGATACGGGATTAAACGGCGATGTGCATTATCGTTTAAAGCAGGATCTCGCGGGCCACTGGAAGACTTTCCGCATCGACGAGAAAACCGGCATGATATCCCTAAAGTTACCGCTCGATAGAGAGACGCAAAAATTATACGAGGTATGCAAACACATGATTTAAAGTAAATTTTATTTCTTTTCAATTATTTTATGCATCTTTTCGGGAATAAAATTAACGAAGTATTCCCGATATAGATACGCGTCGAAGCATACGATTTGGGTACCCCGACGCCTTTAAGTTCAGATCTCGATCTAATTATTTATGTGCGGAACATCAACGATTTCGAGCCGCAATTTTCAGTGAGCGTATTTCACATTAATTTCACGGAGGAACAGCCGCCAGGATCGGAGATGGTGTTACTTCCAGAAACGTTTGACAATGACGACGTTGACGATTTGGAAGATCCTCCCACTCAAGTTTGTTATTTCATAGTTGGCGGAAACGACGACGGACTGTTCGTTTTAGATATTTATAAACATGAACTTGGCGTGAGTCTCTTATTAAATAATATATTGACCAAATATATTTTCCAAAAGTTCATATTTTTCATCTCGTGGTGACTTGAGGAGAATTGATATTATATTTATCGTTTAGACTGCTAAATTGCTGGATAGAGAACAGCAAGAAGAACATGTATTACTTATTAAAGCAACGGAGGATTGCAAGACCGTGCCGGAAAATGAAACGACATTCGACAAGACTGACGCCACTTTATTACAAGTCGTTGTAAGGGTTGACGACATTAATGATAATGCGCCGCAATTTATTAAAGATGTTTTTACGGGCGGTGTTACCACTGAAGCCGACTTTGGCACGCAATTTATGCACGTGAAGGTAACTTTATATTACTAATATTGCCTTACGTATATAACTCTCTTATTGCTGCATCTTTTACCATTATAGTTAATAGCATTAATTAGTATTTCTAAAATGCTTTTAAATGCATTTAATACGAAAATGTATATTGTAGGCAATTGATGCGGATGCTGGGGACAATGCTGTACTCAGTTATTATCAAGTAGGCAAAATTCACATGACGTTAACTGAAGGCTTCGAAGATATGCAACTGCAACCTTTTCTAGTAAATAAGGATGATGGAGCAGTGAGTCTGAATTTCGATCCTCAACGAGGGATGAAGGGCTACTTTGATTTCATGGTATATATTATTTTGATAAAATTGATACATATCTCTTCTGTATGCGCAAACAAACAATGCTACACTTTCGATCTTTTCTGTTATAATTTATATATCTTATTTTATTTAATAAAAATATATAAGTTAAATAAGATATTGCTTGTGTATAAAATATTGTATAAATATAGGTACTTGTTAACGATACGTATGGCTTGCAAGACACTGCGAGAGTTTTTATCTATTTATTACGGGAGGATCAAAGAGTTCGTTTTGTTCTCCGTCAACATCCGCCAGAAGTCCGAAGTCGAATTGAGACTTTCCAAGAGTAAGTGTAACATATTTCGTACTTGTATTAGGTATAGTGATATCAAGCAAAAAGTTATAAATTTTCATTAAAATAAAGAAATAATTATTTAACTAATAGCAGATATTTATAAGAAAATTAATTATAGTTTATTGGTGATATACTGTCACTGTAATGTACAGATCTTATGCAAAGTATGATAAAATAAAATATTTCCGATTATTTTTTCAATATACTTTCTTCAAATTTTTAAATAGTGAGTTAGAACACATCAAACTTTAAAGTAATATCTGAAGCAAACATCTAAATTTTCCATTCACAGAGTCCTGGGTAACGTCACTAGTGCTATAATTAACGTTGATGAATATAAAGTTCATGAAAATCAAGACGGTTCCATAGATAGAACGAAAACAGATTTATATTTGCACCTGGTGAATCGTCGAGACAATTCGATTCTCGAGGTATCCGAGGTCCTCGAATTGGTCGATAGGAACATCGAGAAACTCGACAATCTATTCAAGGAGTTCAACGTCCTCGATACGCAGCCAGCAAAGCCCGAACCGATTATACAGTACGAACAAGCTGGAACGACTTTCTGGCTTCTCACGTTGACCCTATTTCTAGGAGCTCTACTGATTCTGTGTGTCGCTTTATGTTTGTCCCAAAGGGCGTCTTTCCGAAGGCAATTGAAAGCGGCGAACGCATCACCGTTCGGTAATTTAAAACACAAATAACTATTTCTACTAACTCTGCTCCGCTCTCTTTCTGGCTATTGCCTACCACTTATTGGGAGAGGACCTCTGTAAAGTTATATAATGCTCTGTTTTTAGAATTTTAATATAATTGACATAATTCTGACTCTCCCATGAAAATTTTTAAAAAGACTTGGCAGTTAAATATCTGCAAGTAAATATTTCTGATAATTTTTGTCGCAATCTTATTTCCAATGTTATAATATTAAAATCAATTTATTTTCATATTATATCTCAGGTGCGTCGGACTCGGAATTTATTAGAAGTCCTGGTCGCGTTCCAAATACGAACAAACACAGCGTCGAAGGATCGAATCCAATATGGATGCACGCTTATGAAAACGAATGGTTTAAGAGCGACGAGTCATTCAGCCATACGTCCGAAAGAGATTCCCTCGACGAGAACGCACTTAATAATGAAGAGATGATGAATGAAGCTAATACAAACCAAAGAGCTGAGGATAAACCATATTACATAGAGCCAAGAGTTTCAACTATTTCTAGGTATGAAACTATTCTCCTGTTACAGCTTAATCTTGAGTGAAACCGATTTCATTTTGGGAAATTGAAAATAACCACCATAGAGATATTATACTTATATCAATAATAATTATATATACGATAAATATGTACAATGCATGGCGCATAATCCATTACATATATATATTTTTTTACCATTACAGTGTGGAAAGTATCGATATTCAAAATAATTTTAATAGAAATTCACCGATTTACTCAGGACAAAATACGATTGTTAATCCCCTAGGAAAGAAGATCGAAACAACGGAATTATAACAAATCAATAAGTATTGAGGTCACGCGTGATTCACGCTACCTATGCCACTGAATATTCTTTAGATGCAGAATAAAACCCGGGATTATTTTGTACATAATTACGTTGCATAAACAACTAGAAAATAGAATAACTTCTCATTGACTGTTGTAACTTTAGAGATTCCAAATTATTTATTGTAGCAGATTCAGCATGTAAAATATAATTAATTCATATTTGATATCTATTTTTATGAATGAATTGATATGTATGACAAGAAATATTTTATTATTATAATGAGTGCTGAATTTTTTGAACGATTTAATTTACATCTTAATATCAGTCAACGTCGACTACTTGCACAACGACTTATTGTACAACAAATTTTTGTACACCTTTGTATTTTTTATAGTCAAATAAATGATTTTTTTCAGTAAGTTCTGTATTCCTATTTCCTAAACAAAATCCTTCTCGATTTAAAAAGAAGAAGTAAAACCGCGCTAATAGATACAGTTAATCGCGTTAATTATTTTTTACACGACTTCTGACAGTAGTCGAACATCTGACATACATATATGACAGAAAATTAAAGAGTCCGAACAATGACCGAGGTATTATACGCACAGAGCAGCAGGTCACGGGTTGAAAAGTTAGGTAGCCGAGGAAACGGTTACCTATTCTCTTATCGTCTTCCTGAACGTCGAGGTTGCGTGCAACCTCATGCTAATCCAAAGCAGCTATATAACCGACCGGTCAGTGGTCGACCTCACCCAGGTACAACCCTCTTTAAGGCGTTATGGCGTCCTTTGCCCTTTCCATATACATCCGCAATTATGGTGGCGTATGTTCCACCGACGAAAAGTTATCGTCCGGCAATAATACTATTAAAATGCAAAAATGTTTTAAGAACTTTGCATGCGTATAAATCTACAGCTGTATTTAATCAATCCATGTTTTTTTTGTTTGCAAATGTAATTTTCGTTTAAAACGTAAAAATAACAGTCAACAATTGAAACAATAATAATAAAATATAAAAATTTTATGATTAAAGTATTTTAAGCTAAAAACTTAGTATTATATCGTAGTATTTTATTATTGTTGTTTAAATTGGAAAGGTGAGCACTAATTCACTGTGGCCCTCAGAGATTAGCTTTTCGATGTTTATCAGTATTTCTTTTCCAATAAACACGCAAACCCGTGTTAAGAAGTCTTTCGTATTTGGGGGAGATCGCAATTAACCTCTACTATCTGATTTATCGAAGCACTGATTGTGAGTCATCAAAAAAAGCTGCATTATTCTTTTATTATTATAATTAAAAAATTTTCTGGCAAACTCATAAAATTATTTTATATAACATTTCACTAATTGAAGGATTTAGTGTGAGCTGTCTAACTCTGCACCTATTGAAAATTTGAAAAACTTAAGTTTCAAATAACAATCAGACTTATTATTACTTCATCAAACTTTGCATAAGATTTACATATTACAACAAATTATTATGAAACATTAATTTTATTTTTAATAAAACTAAAAAAAATAAATTTTTAATAAAATAAGTGTTTTAATTTATAATTTTTCAATATTTATAACTAATAATACGATGTGTTTACCTCTTTATACATAGAAAAATTATTTAAATTACTTCACATAAATATAAAAAGTAGAAAAAAGTAGTTATCATTTATGCATTGTGATTATCTTACGAATAATTGCAAGCATTCGAAAACCTGTTATCGGTTACAGATAGTTAAGTGCATCTTCGATATTGATGGAGGGGATAATCGTCGAACGTGACGTACACGTGACTCGTAGAGCCGCATCAACGTAGGGGTTGAACAGTACAACTCCTTTCACACGCGCGGAGTACGCGGCCGCGTGAAGTGTGCTTCCACGCGATACTCAAGAATGCTGTCTCTGGATCACGGTTATCCGCCGTGCATTTCAGTGATTTCTCACAAGTGCAATTTCCGAAAGAAAATAATGAACGTATGATGACGCAAACTCGAATCCTACGCGTAAAAATAATTACGTGACAGCGAAAAAAACGGTGGAGAACATAATGCTAAAAACGGCGAAGCAAAAGTTAACTCACTCTCGAGGATTGTTTGCGAAAGAAGCAAGAACTACGAATTGTTTCGTTTTGAAAATGAGTGTATCACTGCCGAAAAAGTCGCTCGATCTGTGATCAATGGGTATTCGCATAAACATGAACTGTTCAACAATTTTGTGATTACCTGTGTGTGTTCTCAGGTAAATTTATATACGTCTTTTTAAATAGTTTTTAATTGAGTTATACTTTTCAATTGCACAATAACTATTTTATATCATAATGCTATAAATTTTCTTTTGCAAAATTGTTTTTGCAACAGTAACAAACTTTTAATAACATCGCAATGCAACTTTGATAACGCGAGTTTTGCAGTTATTAATGGTATTGTGTTTTAAAGTAAGATGAAATACAATGACATTTTTTATTTCTTTGTCGCAAAAAAATAAGTCGTCATTGAAGAACACTCCTTAACTTTAATTATAAGACAAAGAATTTGTAAACTCTACATTTAAAAGAAACCATGTATTAAATATTTAATGCTATATGTTATATTAACAATTTCTTTCTTTGCTATTTTCTCTTAATGTATTATACTACCTTATAATACAAATTTAAAAATCGGGGAAAGTAATTTTTCTTTTAATACAATTTCGCGGAAGTTACTCTCGAAAAGTTATAAAGTAAATAACTTTTTTATTAATTTACAATGAGATATCGGTTTTGTATATATGATGCAATATGATGAAAATGTCGATGCAATCGACAAGACATATCGACATCCCTCACGTGCACCGAAACACCGCAGCGGCAAGCACAATGCACATCGAGTATGCATTTATTTATTATATATTTATAAGCTACCTGGCAAAGGTTCACGTGGATTTTTAATCTCGTCCACGAGATATCGGCTCTCGCAAGTAACCAGCAATGCCGACACAGGTTGCGAAAAAGGAAAAGCCTATCGATCGCTCCGTCGCGTCGTGGACACTGACCGGTAAAAATATATAGCAAGACGGGTTAAAGCCCACTTCATCGTTATACAAACAAAACTTATTATAGATCTACGTAGGAAGTCGATACTAAATATTCCATTGAATGTCTTACGTTCGCTACACCATAGAATATTTATGCAATGTCAAGGCATGAGACATTGACGGAGGTTGTCCGCTGCAGATAGAAACAGAGTGCACATTGTATGAAAGAAAACGAGTATCCTCTAGAAATATGAAAACAAATTCTAATAAAATTATATATACATATCTAATGACTACAGTTAATAATAAATTCAAATTTAATGAAATTATAAGCTTAAAAAAAAGCAGACAGAATGATCGATCAGCGACGATCGAATAAATTGACCCGCTTATCTATATGTTTCAATGGATACTTAATCAGTCATCACGCATTGGCAATACACTGGACACGCCTTAGAGCCTTTTCATTTATCCATTAATTTTCCATTCTATTTTTTTAATTTCAAAACAAAAATATAATTAACTCATTAAAAAAATATATGTAGAAAACTAAGAAAATGTTTTTGAACAAAATTGTTTAAAAAATACGTTTTTAAAATTTACTATCTTGAATACAATCTGCATATAAAAAACATTATATTACGGTTATATATTTTTTGTTCACTTGAGGCTGGAGAAAAGAGTAAATCCGATAGGCGGTAAAATATGTTGTCATAAAGTTTCTGTGTCTACAGATGTACTGGACACGACAATATATTAGTTCTGTTATACACGAGTGTGTTCGATGACCCACATTTCTACATTCACTTTAACAATCGCATATTATATCGGCATATGCAAAAAAAAACATCTGATAAAATAATTTTATTCATGATAATATAATGAAATTATATAGAATGTTTCAAAAGTGACAGAAGATAAATATAGTGTTACAGAGTGTAACCAAAAATATGTCACTATAAAGTTAATGTAAGTTAATATAAAATTTTATTATAATTAATGTATTATAATTTGTTTATACATATATTATATACATAACGTTTTACGTCACATATATAATTTACGTATAAAATAACTTTTCATTAAATTTTCATTAATATATTTTATTTAGAAATCATTTAGAAAATAGATTCCATTTATTATACAATTATGAGAAAATTATACTTTATAATGTGGATCGAAAACATGATATGGAACACTTAATATACTGTTTTGAGACGCGACAATGAATTCTCACGACCTCATTTTATGATCATAAAATCGATATCTACCATCATATCAAAACTCGTCATCTTTTCGCTATTAATGTCGATTACACGTGGATTATAGTGATATAGTATTGCCGATTTGCTCTTACTTGCTTTATATTTAACGTGGACCTTGCAAAATATAGATTTAATGCCCTCTAGTTCTAAATGTCTTATGTATGTACTAAACATGAGAGAAAAAGGACTATGCTCAACAATTTCTTCTTTCAGAATGCCCCTCGTAGGAGCATGGTTCAAAGCATGGGTTTATTTGGGGCTTGTTTGCGGTTGGGGCAAAGGTGCACGACCACGTTTCGACACATCCACGGATATGGGATTGGTATTAGTTCCAGCCGATGCCGAAGTCGATTCCGTGATTTTTCGATTACGCGCCACCGATCAGGATGCGGACTTTCCTCTCGTGTTTGAAGTAACCGGTAATTTAAAAAAGAAAAAGATAAAAGATAAATACAAGTATCGACGTTATTAAAACGTCGATCAAGAATTAAAATGCGATTTCTATATTTCGTTCGCAGCAACAATTACACCCGTCGTAAGAATCGACAACTTGCCGTGCACGTTGTACAATAAAGTCTGTCAGGCTAATGTAATTTTAACGAAACGCCTTGTGCCGGGACGCCTTCACGATTTCGCCGTCAGGGTTCGGGATACTAAGGGAGATTCAAATTCGATGCAGGCTACCATCTCCGCAACAAACGCCACGACCTCGCGTGATAAAATATTCCCTCACATTCCTTCCTTGATAATGATACCTGAGGTATGTAATTATTAATGGCTCTTCTAACAACGTTAATTAGAGCGAGTCGTAATTATTCCGACTTTGGGTGTAATGTTCCACAAACTCTTTTGCACGTAGACACTAATTACCCGTGTAATTAACCGCCATAGGCACAAAATATGTTATTAGTCAACGCACAACATTAAAAATTAATGCAAAATGTATTAATAGGATGCTAAACCAGGTAGGGAATTAGATTACATTCTCGTACGAGCGAACTCTTGGAGCGGCAAGCCAGTTTACATCGAATTATGGGTACGAGTTTAATAGCTGCTTCATATTTGCGTAATTAACAAAGTATAACGTAAAAACGTGACGTCGTTTTAGCAACCGAAAGAACTTTTCACTATTCGGCAGCGACAAACGCCCACGCAAACGCGCGGAGTCATTACCTTGATCGGCGAATTGGACTTCGAGACGCAATCGATGTACACCCTCACCATTTACGCGACGGTACGCATAATTGTCCAATAAACATAAAATATACACGAGAACGCGCACATCACCGATACAATATGTTTCCAAGTAGGATCCGTACACGGAACCTGGAAAAGATACCAGGAATATTGCAGGACTAAATATAGTCGTCATCGTGCAAGACGTGCAGGACGAGCCGCCAATTTTTACCCTAGCGCCGCCTTTAACCAGACTAAACAATTCTGCGCAAGTCGTAAGTTAAATGCATCACTATTCAATTTGCAAATTGTTTTATTCGCTCTAATTTAGTTGTCCGCATAAAAAAAATATATATTTTAAATGTTCTAAGTTTTATACCCTACATGAACGTCGATAAAAAATATGCTCCTTCTTGAATCATTATTACTTTATTACTCAATTTTAATGGCAATTTTTTTTAACCCTTTGTGTCACGTTTAGGGAGACGTAATATTACGAGTTCACGCGGAAGATGGAGATAAGGGCGTGCCCCGTGAAATCACGTACGGCCTGGTGTCCGAAGGCAACCCTTTCATACCTTTTTTCAACATTTCAGAAACAACCGGTAAGAAATTGTTGAATTTTCCATGTTTCGTATCCATAGAACGACGAAAAGTTAAGAGAATTATAGGTGAAAGTAATTTTGTCGCCGATTGTGCTACATTTCACTTTGAATTCTTGGTTGCGTGCAATCCAATTATGTTACGCGAGTTGAGGGCGCGCTCAAGGGTTAAAGGACTTCTCCTATCGCGCAGATGCAAACTAGAATTGTGGTGCTGTAATTAATTTACTCGACGAGTTGAGTCATCGCAAATTCTCCGATCTATCGCACGTCACGCGTCGTTTCCACCTGACAATCTCGATGACGGGAAAAAGTAACGGGGTTGATTCATATTCCCCTCTGGTATACAAGGCTGACCTCATTCCGCGAAAAGCGCCGGACAATGATTAAGCAGGGAAATTTGTTCGCTACCGTTCCGCCGATGTCGATCTTTCATTTCTTGATAGCGAACCAATTTGTTCCACCTTCCATCGTAAAGTTCGCGGAAGAAATCACGCGTATTCTTGTATTCACTGACTCACACGCGCATTTTTCATTTTTTTCTTATGGACGTTTCAGACAAAAATCCTATTACAAACGATGAAATTTTCATAATAAAAATTTCAACTACAAATTGCATGAAGACGTACTCTAAATTGAAAAATGTCGAAAGCAAAAGTATTAATCTTTAAGGATCTACGGGTTAACAAAATAATTTTGTTAAATAGACAGAATTTTTTATTAACGAGAGAAATCAATTTCATAAAAATAATAGATATTATTCTTTTTCTTTAAGTTTTTTTTTTAAGAACTACTTACGCACGAATGAAAAATTATGCTAGCAGAACTCTCGTTATCTATCATCATTCTTGGAATATCAGATTTTTTTGTGAAAACCTAAATAAGTCAGGCAAGCACGAGAAAAATTGGCGAGGAGTAAACAGAAGGAGCTAAAAGTGGTCGGAATAAGTCTGGACAGTCTACGGCCAAGTATCGATCGTTCTCAGGGGTCACTCTCTGCTTTTCAACTTGCGATGCTTATCATTCCGTGGCAAGGAGCATGCGATACGTACTACGACTCCTTGCGTGTGCGGGTTCCACCTACATCCAGCGATGTACACATTCATCCTTCGCTGAGAATGATTTCTTAAGTCGATTCCGCGGGTACATTATGTAAAATTATTGCCGGTCAGCGTGCGTGTACGGTACGAGCCGAGACGGAGAAGTAACAAGGATAAAGGAATTCGCCGTCCATTATCTCCGCGATGTTTTATTCATATTAAAAATAGTCTATATAGCATCGCTACAGTGGTTCTCCAAGAAATAACGAATCATCTCACACATAAGTCGCGCATGTGAAAATGAGATATTGTACACGTTATACGATGCGAAACATGCGAAATGTGATAGATTAATGTTGTGAAAGATACTAATTTTGGGAAAATATTTTAAGTAGAAATGTGTACAACTTTGGCGAATGCATTTAATAATCGTAACAGTTCTTATATATAGATAGCATAATTTGCGATATCAAATTATGCAATCATTTCTTTTCAATATTTTTCATAATTAATTATATATGTATATTATATCTTCAGTATATGTATATCAATAATTATGTAAAAAGTTGAATAAAAAATTGGTCTATAATTAACACAAACGCTATAAATCACTTACGATGTTTAGGTGAGATTGTTCTCGCTAAACCTTTAGAAGAACTCACGCAAATTACTCACGTTGGCGCACCGGTCGTGCTCACCGTCGTCGCTGAAGAAATACGGAGATCTACGGACGAGCCGCCAGCCCAGGCGACGGTCGTCGACGTCGGTTTCCTTCTTGGAGAACCAGGCAATAGCCCGCCATATTTTGAGAATGATAAGTTGGTACTCGATGATTTTAGTAACGAGCACGTAAGAGTCAGGGCAATGTTTTTTCGTGATTATTTAACTTCTGATAAATATTCTGTGACTTTTAATATCATTGCCTATATTTGTCTTCATATATTACGCTTTTTTAAATTTTCTAATACCCGCATTATATTGTTCGTAATAAATAGTGCGATTTCCTAACAATACGTTGTCTCGTTATTCGTTTATTTATACTTAATATATATTATTTATAGCTATGTTGCATCGATACCAGAGAATTTGGAACCAGGTTCCGTGATAATGTTCCCCGAGCAATATTCGACTAGAGTCCACGATGAAGATATTGGTAAGGCTGGTGTTTTCGCATTGAAGCTACAGAATAACAATGGTACTTTCGAAATAAATCCAACTGTTGCTGAAAGAACGGCGGATTTTATTCTCATGGTACGAGACAATACACTCATCGATTACGAGATGTACAAAAGTTTATCTTTTAAGGTATGCATTCCTAATACAAAGATAATAGATAAAATAATTCAATAATAATTTTTGTTCTTTAAGTGATATTGTGTTATTTTTTATTATACAAAAGCAACTCTAAAATAATTAAATTTTAATAATACACACTTAATAAACGAATATTGTCCAACGTTTAAGTAAATATTTAATTAATGTGCATATATATTTATGTGTGGTATAGATTATTGCTCAAGAAGTTGGTCCAGCAACAAATTTGTCGGCAACAGCAGCAGTCTTAATATTTATACAAGATGTTAACGATAATCCGCCAATTTTCGACGAAGAATCTTACGAAGTTACATTGTCCGAAAATATCACCGCTGGAACACGGGTGATTCAAGTAATATTTAATTAATGCTTGTTTTAAATAAATATAATAAGAGTAAATCGAGTATATTCTCCATCAACTTTACTACTTTTTGATATATGTATGTATTTAAGAACTTGACGTTATGTTGATTCGAGCAAAAAAAACATAATTTTATTGACAGGTGCATGCAACCGACAAAGATACCGGACTTTTTGGCAGTATTCGATATACAGGAATAACAGGAGAAGGAAGCGAGGCTTTCGCCATAGACCCCGATACAGGATTAATCACGGTCGCGATGGGATCGTCTTTGGATCGTGAAATGGCAGCGCAATTACAATTAACTATAATTGCGCGCGATGAAAACGGCAAAGGTAACACGGGTGTAGTACCTTTCATAGTGAATTTGCTGGACGTAAATGACAATGCGCCGATTTTTGAGAAAGATGTCTACGAATTTAAATTAAATTCTGATTTGACAAATTTTTCAACAGCTGCCTTTATAAAGGTAAATCTTGATATCCTTGATATTTTTTTAATTAATTAATTTTCATTCGTAAAATTTTCAACAAATATATTTGATACTTTTATAAAAATACGTTTTAATTCGTACGCGCAGGCCACTGACGCCGACGCCGAACCGCCGAACAACGAGATTCGTTACGAACTGATTCACGGAAATTATGAAAATAAATTTTATTTGAATGAGATTACCGGAGAACTGATATTGCTGTCGCCCATCACAAAGTTCAGGCGGAAGAAACAAAGCATCTACGACAATTTTTCAAAGAAATTACACAAAGGAACACAAAGTCTTCAACCGGAACACATGACACGAGAGACTGTAAGAAGAACAACAGTATCTCCGGATATGACAAATTCAACGGAAAGCGTTACAAGTGAAACTAAATTGGAACGCCAACGCGAGATAAAAAGACATCGAAGAAAACGAGCGGAAGCCGATGTCTTATACACTTTAACTGCCAGGGCGTATGATCTCGGTGAATTTTTATATAATAAATGTAGTTTTTGGCGAACGAAATAAATCACGAACGAGAACTAAAAATTTCGTAAAAATTTTATAATTAAGCAAAAAGATACTCTTTACTATTCTCTTTTCTTCATTAACGCGATGTTCTAGGTGTACCTCATCTCTCGAGTGAAGCAGAGATCCTCGTCATCAGGGGAACTGCCATGGAAGCTCGCATAATGATGTTCGTGGTACCGGGAGAAAGTCCGAATTTAACGAAAACCGCGGAGACATTAGCCACTATCACTGGTGGACGAATTACCGTACTGGATACACGTCCTTACGTGTCAGATAATAAAACTAGCATGACAAGCGGTGCTGTCCCAGCGGAAGGAAAAAGGTTGATAGAGACTTACGAAACGTTTCGGTTTTATATTTCAAGAAAAAGATGCAAATTTGAACATTAAAAGAACATTTACGATTATTTGCGAATATTTCTTTCGAATCAGCTATAAGAGTTAGAAAAATCTTTAAATTAGCATTTTAATTGTTAATCGGTCATAAATTTTTCACATTTCTGTTTTCTTCTGCTGATAGAACGATTGTGATAGCTCGCGTCGAACAAACCGAAATCGGCACCCCCCTGGTGGACGTGGAAAAAATTCGTAACATATTAGCTGCGAATGGGGTGGGCATCATCGGCGGCGCAGGCAATGGGTCTATGACATACTACGATACTACCACGAAACTTCCAATCGATGGAGTAATTCGCGATGGGGGAGATAACGCGGGGACCTACGTAAACAAAACGATCAGCAGTGTTCACGAGGAAGTAGTGAGTAGACGTTAATTGTCCACATTCGTTAACTTTATCGAGTAACACGTCAGTTTGTATTCAAAATTAAATTACTTATCGTAGATTAAAATTGTGTTACTTATTAACTTATTTTTTATTATTAATTAACTTACTTTTTTCGATAATTTTCAACATATTAAAAAAATTTTGTTTTCTCTTTTCTCTACATGTGCAATAAATTTATTATTATAAGCCAAAAAAGTTTGAAAAATAATTGGTAGTGAACGAAACATATGGACATTCTCTTGTATGTTATTATTTTATTCATTCTGAGGCTAGATTATCTCGCATCTTAAATTTTGCTAAGTAACGTTCTCATAAAGCATATTTTTCTCTTATCCCAGTTAGCAATTTTCTATTTTAGAAAAATGAGAAATCAGAGTTCTTTTTCAGACTGTGTACAAAGCGGAGAATAAACTGTTGTTTTGGTTACTGATTATTCTGGGCCTGCTAATGCTGCTGGCCATCGCGGCACTCATAATTTGTTGCATCTGCCCAGGCTGCCCATTTTACATGGCACCCAGAAAGCGTAGAGTTTACTCGTCGGAAACACTTATCGCTCGATCCGATGGTCGACCGAAACGTCATCTTCATCGAAAACCAATGGCTGCAATCGATAGTAATTACCCTTTGTCAACTATTTCGCATTCGAACGTTTAAACATTTTCTTGAAATAACTTTTGCAAATGTTGCAATTATTTAGTTTTATGTATTTTATAAGAAATTTTTAAAAAATTATCTTTCTATATATAAAAAATTTATGCTTTATTAACAAGAGCGATGTATCAAATAATTAGTTACATCGAACGGAAAGAAACAAGCTTGGAGTGCGGATCCAACTCGAAGAAACTGGCAATTTAATCGTCGAAACACGCAGAACGGTGGATTAGCGTCACTACCTGGTGACGTTGTGTACATTTCGGAGCGTCCTCCAATCGACCAAGCAAATGTGGAGTCACTGAGGCTACGTGACGGTCCGGCTTATGATCCTTCGAGGAGAAGGAGAATCGAAGAGCAAGAGAGACTATATGTAGAGGATGTCGATGAGAAGAAGATTAGAGATTACGATGGCACGGATGTAGATTCCTTGCAACGACATGAAATCGAACGTGGTTCGGACATTCAGCGTCAAGCTTACAGACAAAGGTAAAATAGAACGCGTCATAATGAAATAGAATCGTTCTTTATAGCGACTTCGTGATAATTGTTAATGATTCTTGAACTATAAGAGCCTAGAATACGAAATACAAAATAAACCGGAAAATATTATAAATCTTATTAATATGTCATTTTCTTAAATTAAAAATTAAATTCATGCAACATAAACATTATCAATTACATTATTAGATTTTTGTTATATCAATTTTGCTTACTAAAATATATGTTTATAACGTCATGTAGGTACTTTTATTATCAAAAACTCAAAAAAATTATTTTTGCGATGTCTACTTTTTTAAAACAGACATTTTTAAGGTACATTAATAAATTTTGAAATAAAAATTTTGTAAAAATATTCTTTCAGTAAAATTTTTCCGAATTAGAAAAAAAAGATTAATAATATATTCCGTATTATCCCGTTACAGATACGTCGATCCTGAATTAAACAATGAGACAGCGATAAGAGAGCAACATTTTTACCGCGCGGGTAACGCAGAGGTGCTGCAATTAGTAACGCGCGGACAAGTGGAGGATAGAAGTCAACATCGTCATTCATATCCAGCGACTTTCATAGTGGACGGCAAGGATGTACTTCTACAGCGGTTCATGCAGGACCAGAAAGCGCGACACGTCGAGCTGTCGATGCAGGAACCCGAGGTGTTGCGCACCATCGACTCTCATCAGCGCTCAAGAAATTTATATCAGCACAAGCAGGAGATTCTCCTCCTGCCAGAGGAACTAGACGTTAGACGTCGACGCGTGGAAGAATTGGAATCCGACGCGCAAAAGTTGGCAATGGACGACGAATACACGGCGCAAAACATGGATGTGGAGTCACAGATGCGGGACATTCGTCGTCAAGAGATTTTGACAAATGTGCCCGGGACATCTAAAGGCAGACCGTCGATCGTCAAAGACCAGGCGCAATCGACGACGGTACAGTCGTACGCGTTTCACGATCTGGAGTTGGCGAGACAGAACGCCCTGTTAACGAGGCTACTGTTGGAGAGGGAATCTAGGCACGCTGGTGGCGTAATGATGGACACCGCGAGTTACTTAGAGACCCAAAGTCTTCCCGGGCAAGTGGCAATCGCGACTCAGACTGACAGAGTCGCTGCGACAGAAACGGAACGACATGTCCGAAGCAGAAGTGACAATGACGAGTCCGACGAGGATATTCGAAATCGAAAGAGGATAAAGAAACGCCACGGGGAGAGCGAATTGAGAACACGGACTTTATGGATGAAAACACCCATCGAGGAAGAAGAGGGCCCGTGTTTTGACAAACGACTGAACATCTCGAGGAAGAAAGTGCAAGAAATGAAGGAGGGACGAAAGATATGCTTGGAGCCTGAAGTGCTGCGAGAAATTTCAAATTCTCTCGACGAGAATGGAAGCACTTACCGCGAGAAGGAAAGAAAGTCAGCGAAAACTTGTCAACAATACACCGAAGAGAGCAGCATCGGATACAAAGTACTCGGCGAAGAGAAAAACGGTTCCTCTTCGTCGACAGAAGTAGGTAAGCAACATGAGAAATTTTTTGATAAGAAAAAAATGGAGAGTTTGTCGTCTCCAGAAATAAGTGTCGATAACGGAGAATATATTCGTAAAACGACGGAAAAGAAAAGTTTAAGGAAGGAGAGTAGAATAAAGAAGCAAAAGAAAGTAGAATCCGTGATAAAACCTAGCTTTCGAGTTTTAGAGAGAGAGATCACGATGCTGACGAAGAAACTAAGTAAACTCGCTGATAAAAAAATACCGCAGACCACTGGATCTGAAAGTACGAGTCTGGAAAAATCGGGAACATCAAAGGACTCCAAAAAAGATTCGGATCAGAGTACATTAAAGAAAGAAGAAGACTCAAAGAAACACAAACGATTTGAGACTTCTCCAAGTATATCGAAAGAGACAAAGAGAGAAAAATTTAAGTACCAGCAACGACAGACGATGAGTCCCGGCAGTTCCGAGTACGAGGACACGTTTGAAAAACCGGACAAGTCGAAACTGACTTCTCAAGAAGCTGCGAAGCACAAACAAATAAGTAGTCATGCAAAAGTGAAAAGGCAAACGCCGATTGAACGTAAAGAACGCAAGAAACAAGTCGTGCAGCAGGACCGAGAGTTCGAGAAGCGCAGAAGTGCCGCGGGTAAAGAAAACGGCAGATCGAAGACCGAGAAAACTGCCAAATTAATGTCGCGTACACAAAAGTTGGCGGCGATTGGTCGTAAAGAGCATGTTCGTATCTCGGAAGAACCGAGTACGAGTACAAGTTCCGATCGTATGAACGGCAAAAAGGACTCGTTTGCCGGTCGGGACTTCGACAAGAAAAGTACGGAATCTTCAGAGATTTCGTCGAATTATCAGCAAAAATCGGAACAGAGGTTAGATCACGTAAGCGAGAAATTCTCCGACGATTTTGTCACAGAGCCGCAGAGAAGAGACATCAATCAGCAAAGCGAGCTTTATTCAACAATAACCAGAAAGATGGATGAAGAATATATTGCGAACGGTATAGGAGATATCGAGATAATACAACAATTTTCTGACGATTTCATAATGGAACCACAGACGAAAGAACTGGAACATCAAATGCAAGCTGCTGTTGAAAGTGAGATCTCCGATAGCAACAGGGAAAGTGCATATCACGATTTTGATCAAAAAGATATGAGCCTGAAGGAATCCGCTGTTGTAACTGAAAGGGAAAAAGATATATCTCATGACTTAGGTAAAGAACATTTGACGCTAAAAGAAGCTGTTGAAGATCTCACCATTCTTCACAATTTGGAAGATATGCAATTCAAAAATGGCATTGCAAGCAAAGAATCTGAATTGTTTGAAGTCTCTAATAAAGAGTTGGATGACAGCAGCAAGAGAACAATTTCTCCGGAATCTCTTGCCCTAAAAACCTTAGAAGAACATCAACCGGAGAAACTGCCATCTTACAGTAACAGAAGCGCTGTCGAAAAAAGAATGGCTTATATGTCCGGAAAGCACAAAGAAGCAACAGAAGAATCTTTCTACGAAACCGAAAAAGAAATGTTAGAAAAAGAAATGTCAGAAATTATACCAGAAACAGAACTACATGAATTACAAAGATTAAGAGATGCCGAAAAGATTGCGAGCGAAGAAGCGAAATTTGAAGCATTGGAAAAACATATAGAAAGTTTGAAAGAATTAATTAAAACGGAGCACGCTGAAGAAGAAATAGAGCATAAGGAAAATGGATTACATAGTGACATGATTTCATTACCATCAGAAATAGAAAAAGATTCAAAAGACATTAAAGATGTTACATTATATTCAAGCGAAAAAGACAAAGCTGTAGAATTATATAAAACCGAAAGCGATCAAAGAGAAGAATTAAGTCCTAAATCAAAGAAATATATTGAAGAGAAAATTTCTTCGACAAAAGATGCAATAGATATCGAAGAAAAGATGGTAGAAGAATTAATAAAGACAGAAAATGAAGAAGACTCGTTACGTGAAATTAAAAGTGACGTACAGAAACCAAAAGAATATGTAACTCAGGAATTTGACGCAGAGAAAAAGGAAGAATCGACAATTAAAGCGTTTGAAGAACCGCTCGATATCAGTCAATCTCTTACAGATGACACCAGAAATGGCACTCAGAGAGCGTTTTCAATCGATGACGATACATTATTGTACATTGATGAAACTAGTGGTGAAGCGTCAAAATCAGATCACGATTTGATTCAGTCTGAGCTCACCGAGCCACCAGATATTATAAAAAAAACTACTGATAAAGATGAATTGAAACATTTAAGTGATGATCTCGCGAAGACAGAAATTGAAAGCTATGAAACTAAGGAAGAATCGCACATATCTCCTAAAAAAATGATTGATAAAAAACAAGAGAAAAGTGATGAAGACAAGTCTCTCACGCCTTTAATGCCTACTTCTAAAGAAGAGATTATTAAAGAACAATTACAAGTTGAGCATGTAAAGGAGAAAGAAAAACCACTTCTCGAGGAACATAAAGAAAAAACGGAAGAAGTATCTACATTAAAGGAAAGATCTGACGAAGAAATACTTGATAAGGAATCTTCTATCGATCAGCCGCAAGATTCGGATCTGCAAAAATCAACTGTCAGTGAGCCTGACAAAGTGGACAGTTCTGTGACAGCCTCTGAGAGCGCAGCAGTCGTAGAGCCACGAGACAAAGGGGAGCAGCAAGCAGACGTAAGCGATACAATTTTTAGCAGCTTTATTGATGATACACTCGATGTTTCGGAGGAGAGCGACTCATCCAGTGATGTTTCTAGGAAAACAACGCTGACCACGAGACCCTATGATACTCCACGCCATCGACAAAAGTGGCAGCAGCAAGAAAGCATTGAAATAGCGGGAATATCTGGCGTAAGAACTTTCAAAGATAGCGGAGACGCGAGAACAGAAACTGAACCAGAAGAGGATACAGATAGCAATTTATCGCTCGATGAAATTGAAAAAACAGAAGAGTCGGTTACAACCGAAGCAACGAGTGAAGTAAAAGACGACATGGAAATTGCTGCTGTACCTGAAAAAATTTCTTCTGACGTTGAAAAAGTCCCATCCGTATCTGATTTAAAGGAAATAAATGGTAAACATATAACAGACAGAGATTTTGAATCAAAAGTCGAAGTCGAAGAATTAGAAACTGATATAAAATCAGAAATACAAAATTTATTGACGACAATTCAAGATATAGTTCCATTAACTCTAAGTATTAAAGAACTAAAAGGCACGTCAAAGGAAGATGTAGAATCTAAAAGCGAGATTGTAACACCTCGTAAAAAGATCGAAGAAGTTTCCGAATCTGTGAAACAAGATGATAAAAATGAAACTGAATTGCCTTTAAGTAAATCTGAACAAGTGGGGCCGAAAGACAAAACAAAAACGGAAGACATTGAAATAGACAAAAGAATTGAAGAAAGTGATATAGATGAAATAAAAAGTAAAAAGATTGATATGACATTAACTCCGGAGAAGTATATTTCAAAAACTGTACCTTCCGAACGTTTCGTGAAGAAAAAAAAGAAACTTGAACGACCGAAGGCGCCTTCTTCCGAGGAACGAAAACGTGTTCTTGATAAGTCGGAAGAAAAAGTTACACCAAGTTATTCTCAGCGTCGATCTCGCAAATTCACCGACGGTGACTCAGAGAAGCAAACAAGAGACGCCGAATCGCAGAAACGCAGATTCGGCATCTCCAAGGCGTCTCCATTACGATCGCCAAGAAGGGAAGAAGAGCATCAGCGAAAACAACCAATGTCCAAATCAAAATTTAAGACCGAAAAAAAATCTACGATTGTCCCGAAAACTGGCGAGATCGATATGAGTAAGACGCAATCGAAGTACATGGCTTGGTACAATAAGAAACGCGACGAGGCGGAGAAGAAGAGGTTGGAGAGGAAAGCGGACGATGAGGAGCAGCTACCGCGCTGGGTAAGTAGGGGCTTGAGGCAAACGACAAAGCAAAGAGAGAAGCTAACTGCGGAGCACAAGACTCCGGAGATAACGCCGCGCACCAGACGCAAGGTCAAGCCTCTGGTGAACGTCGAATCTGAGCAGTTGAAGGCTATAGTGCGTCAAGGACGGCAATTAAGAAGGGCCGAGGGTAATCTTAAGGAAGACCCGCCGGTTCAGATATTCGCCAGAACACCGCCAGCTTCTACTTCGGACACGCAGCATCGTCTGCTGCAGCACTCGGAATACAAATACGAAAGAATACCGCCGCCATTTTATCTTCATCCACCCCCGGCGCCACATCCGTCGCCGCAGTTATCGCCGGAAAGATCCCTCGAGATGCAACCGTGTAGGACGCAGTACGAGCAATCCGAGGACGACTTGCATTCGGAAAGTGCAGCGCCGTTCCAAAGCGGCGGTCGTCTACGCCATCAACAGCTTCTCGAGAAGAAAAGCGTCTTCGACATCGCGTACAGCGAAGCTGCGCCATCGCAACTTCGATCTGACAGCACAACTCCGCCGTCATAAATATACGATTGATATTCTCCGTATTATATATATTATATATGTTTCTATCATACAAAAAGTATATATACAATACAGTGAAAATAATTACTTGTTTTCCAAATATTATATAAAATTATTTCAATATGTTTTTAATTTTGTAATTATCCTTACATAAAAGATAATTTTATATATACCTACATATGAAATTAAAATAGAAAAATTAAATGTCCTGTACATATATTTTATAGCGTTTTCTTATTAACTAGTATTAATTATTGCGCAGTATTAATTTTTTAAACTACTCTCATTTCCTTTACTGCCGATGAAATATTATACGAATTTATCTTTAAGGAAATGTAGTAACTTAATCGTCAAAATTTTATATTAAAATTTATTATTCCATACATAATGTTTATATATATATATTAATACTTGTAAATATATATACGTATATAAAAATATATCCTATACGTCATTAACTACTTCATTTTCCTTTTATTAATTCTATTTTCTATTTCTTAGCTATCTATAAGGTACGAATTATAGGAAGAAAAATCCTACTTTGATAGTTTAATAGTTTAATAGCTCTAATATATTCGCGAATATATATAGAGTACACGTAATATTTCTAAAAAATTCTTTTAAAATTAATCATCCTAAAAATAATGCAATATTTTGAGTTTGAGTATGTTGCGTTGAAAATATTATTATCTACATAGATTATATAATAAACGATTAATATGCTTATCACATAGCTTTCAACAAAAAAAATCGACGAATGTGATCCAGGATTAAATATTCTGTAAAACAGGTCTATATATTTTATCCAGTGCCCATAAAAAATTATTTTCGTATAATTTGCATTGCATTGTATTATATTACGTCCAAAAATAACTGTTTCTATATATTGAAAAATAATTATTGATATTCTTACTTATCTCTTAAATCAAGTGTCAACTAAGAATTAAATGCAATTTCCGAGAATTCTTTTACAAACTTTTTCAAAGTTTAATAAAGCTCTCCATAATAAAAAGTGTATTATAAATTATTTCATGATTGCTCTCTGTCACGGACATTCAAAGATTAAATATTTAAACTAATCACCACACACAATTCTAGCCTATTTATTTCAAGAGGCAATAAAACTGTAAGATATAAATTCTCTGTAATATTTTCATATTCGACTTGAATCTATTTTTCTTGAATGTTACACAATATTTGTAAAGATATAAATAATAAATTCAGATATCAGACAATTTATAAGAATAGATAATAAAAAATACTTTATTTCTGTAACTATTGTTATTAAAAATTTAAGTCTGTAACTATGAAGAAACAACAAATTTAATTCTTCGATTATTTTCCAATATATTCCATATTTTACATACGCATGGTCTACACATCTGATTGAACATTTTTCTCACAAAGTCCATTAAATCAAAATTAAAATAAAATAATTTAACACTCACCAGTACGACGCGCATCAGCGGAGGTACAGTATAAACGTTGATCTGTAAAATACAAATAACATATATCAAAATTATATCAAAATAATTACTATCTCTATGTATTTAAAATATAATTATTAATTTATTAATTTTTAAAGGAAAATATTTAACGAAAAAAAATACATAAATTTTCGGATCTACGTAATGAATAAAAAGTGAATTACCTCATGGTTGCTCCGCCGTCGCCCGATGCCTCCTAGGCCTCGTCCTCCTCTCAGGTTTCTTCGTTTTACACACACGCGCACAAAACACACTCGCAAAAACACAGTTAATTACGCGCGATACTTCGCATAGCACTTTCGACGACAATCGCACGCGATTTTGCGACAGAATAACTCGAGGAAGTACGATCGCGCGCAACGAGCTATGATTCGGTCGACGTGTATACGACGATTAGCGATTCACCGCGAGGGACTAATTACAAACGATGAGTAGTAATTACAAACAAAAATTTAAACAAATAACCGATATATCTATTAACCTGGTATGCCCGGGAAAGTTTCATCTGTCGTCAATGCCGATATACTCCGGAGTAGTTCCGTCGCTGCGACAATAATGAGCTTCGTGTTGAACGCGTTTTATCCCGAAAGATATCCCCGTCTGTCCATTCTGTCTCGTTCTATTGGCGGCAGATGGCAGCACCTCATAATTAACGCCATCGATATCGATTTTCGCGTTCCACTTCGCACTTTCGCAGTCATTTCAAATCGCCATTAAAAAGATTAATTAAACATGAAACCGAAATATGTCTACTTCGATAAATAAAAAGCGCCTCGATAACGATTCGTTAATCGCGGGGAATTAATTCGCGCATGCATAATCACACAATAATAGCGTTTGGCGTCTCCTTTGGCCGCAATTGCATTTCGAGGAGCAACGTACGCGAGATCGCACGGAGCTGCTTGATGACGCAGGCGACAACGCCGCCATATTCGCTCCCGCTTCCCGCCTTCCCCTTTCGCGAACGACGCGAACAATCGGCTGCTTATGCACTGTATCAGAGAGAAGCCTGAGAGAGGCAATAAAAAATGGATGTAATGGCGGTAGTATACAGAGGCTTTCGACGGTCCCACGAAAAAGGCCGGGATGGCCTACTCTCTCAGGCTTCTCTCTGATCGTACTTTGCCGTAGGCGACAGATAACATCTCGCCGCCACGAAATATTCAACTAGCGAAATAATGTGTGCTGCACGCTAAAAATAATCTGTATCTTACGTCTCACATTAATCATTAATATATCATCGCCTCGAAATCATTTGACCTCTCAATCCCTCCCTGACAATGATAGGCAAATTCGATGGAGAAATAAAAGCGCGATACGAAATCAAGTATCAATCACGAGAAACAGTTACTGCCCGTAATATACCGTAATAAAATATTTATGGATCCTCTTGTCGTTCCGATTAACGCCTTCAGATCGCGCGAGATATTACTTAATCTCGTCGATGAACATCGACGTTTCGATGATCGTTATAATTACAGCGTAGTTAACAGCGCGTTCATAATTACTAATTAATCGTATAGAGTGATCACGCTCGATACCTCATACTCGCTGCGATCGTGCTTTGGAGCAGTTTGGAGGGCTAATGCGAAATATAACACGGAGCACGGAGCGGCTCGCGCGGCTATTACGTACTTCGTCGAGCGTCGCTATGCGAAAGTGATGCGCGATTCTGATTCGATTATTTGAGAATCGATTCTTTTTC